TGATCGGGGGGGAGATCCCCCTGCCATGGCAGGGGGGTTGGAACTAAATGGTCTTTGAGGTCCCTCCCAACCCAAATCATTCTAGGATTCTGTGGTTCGATGAAAACGTCCTCTTTAAATGTCCTCTCTCTTCTCCGTCTGCAAACTTGGTGTCGAGCTGGTCAGAGTCATTATCCAGTTGTCTTCTTTGTCCTCCGAAATGCTGGGGTGAGCTGTCCTCCTTGCTCCCATTGCCGGGGCCAGGGCTGTGGTGGGATCTCCGTATCGTGTCTGGTGACCCATTCTTCACGCACAGCAGCCACAGCAGTGGCCATCTCCAGTATCTTTCATGCTGTCAGAAGGCCCCTTGTAGTCTAGGGCCAGAAACACATCTTCCATCCCTTCTTCACTTTGTGGTGTGTTTAGGAGAAGGACCTTTACTAGGGACATGCCATCCACCTCCCAGTGCCAGTGCCTCCTGGTGCAGCCCCAGGAAGCTTTAGATCCAGGTAGGAAGGAGACACAGGACGTGAGATCACAGAATCACAGAATCACAGAATGTTCGGGGTTGGAAGGGGCCTCTGAAGATCATCTAGTCCAACCTTCATCCCAGCACACCCAACCACTACACCACAGCCTCAAGTGCTAGATCTACTCTTTTTTTAAACACCTCCAGGGTTGGTGACTCCACCACCTCCCTGGGCAGCCTGTTCCAGGGACTCACCACTCATTTAGGAAAGAACTTCCTCCCAATATCCAATCTAAACTTACCCTGATGCAACTTGAGGCCATTTCCCCTTGTCCTGTCATTAGGAATTAGAGAGAAGAGACCAGCACCAGCCTCACTCCAGCCTCCTTTTAGGTAGTTGTAGAGGGCAATAAGGTCTCCTCTCAGCTTTCTCTTCTCCAGACTAAACAAACCCAGTTCCCTCAGCCAACCCAGTCCCCTCAGCCAGGGGTGTCCTTCTACAACGAGGGAGCTGTGTGAAGCTCCAGAGCTGCAGCCCGAGGTGAGAAGGTCTCCTCCAGGATTAGCACCCATCTGGTCTTCTTTTGCTTGATCCACTGCTGCTGTGATCACCCACCCTACTGACACGATGGCTCTGTTCACCCCACCCAGTCACCCCACTCTGGGCCTACTAGCTGCTGGAGATGGCTCTTAGGTGAGGCTTCATCCAAGCTGCGGGGTGAAAACACCTGGCCTGATGCTGCAGGGGATGAAACTAAGCCCCAGATCCATCCTCGGCAGAATCCTTGTAAAAGCGCTGCAGGGATGAGTGTGAGGGAAACATCAGCGCTAAGATGTTCCTGGCAGCGCATCAAACGCCAAGGTCCACCAACCAAAACCACAAAGCGCTTTGGGGCTGTGGTTTCCTTTCCTTCCTCGGAGCAGCGGAAAGTGGGTTTTTCTCACCGGCTGGTGCCAAGCACTCATTAGACAAGAAAACTATCCCAAGGAGCCTGGGACAGTTGAATTGGGCTTCTGTAGATGAGCAAGCCCTGACACCAGATTTGTTCTGCAAAGCGCATCCCCAGGGGACATGTCCCTTCTGAAAGGAAGAGGTTGATGAGCTCCTGCATCATGTTTCTACCCCTACAACGGAGATGTCAGTAGCAGTTGTGCTGGGTCACTGCTGAGATGTGTTAACAGACCCTGTGGTGGGTGTCACAGCTCCAGCAAGAAGCTCTCAGGAGATATAACATTGAGAGTGAAGCCTTTCTCCAGCACTTACCAGCCCAGGAGCTGGTGGAGACCACCCCCAAAACAGCTCCTGTCTTCAGGGCAGAGTCGTGGCCATGCCTTGGTAGTAGAACATGAACCCCCCCAAGCTTGGTGACCCTTCCCCAAAGCCGCTCTGCATCTCAAGCCCCCTTGTCAGGGAGAGGAAACACTTCTGCTTTTGGTTTTGGGAGGTGATGGGTTGGATGGCACACCAAAGGGTCAGCAGATCTTTGCCGTGTGGTGCTCTAGCTGTCATCCTTTCGCTGGTGTAGAGTAATCCCTGTACCTAAGGAGACTTCTTGCCTTGAAGAAAGTTAAGCCATCTCCAGGGCTCCACCAACCATGGCCTTGATGCACCTAATTCCTTGTGCAGTTCTTGGAGGCATCCTTGGTTTGGGGTGAAGATGACTCCACCACAGCAAAACCCTCAGGCATTCTCCCCGGAGGGGTGGACAATCCCCACATCCCACCAGAGCCCATCAGCAGCACCTCCACCTCCCCTTGCTGGCCCATGGGCATGGACGTCACCTCCAGGGCTTGGATGTGTCCCCTACGATAGGAGAGCCCCAAACTACAGCCCCCGTTTCCCACCTCCCAAAGGTTGGGGGTGCTCAGATAAAGGGGTTTCATCTGACTCCTTCTACAATAAACAGCAAACCCCGCTGGCAGCAAACACTGAATTTCTATGGTTTATGGGATTCTCTAAAATTTATAGGAAACAGACACCGAGCCAGGCAACGGTCCAAGCCCAGGCTTTAAGTAAAGTCCTGTTTTTTGCAGCACTAGTCTTACACATCTATAATGACTTTCTTCTGAGCACAGGAGAGCGATCAAATCTTCAGGAAATGCAGCTTGTCCTGGGCAGGGGGACATCTAGGGTGGGATGAGCCTCCTTGCCTAAAGTCTCTCGTTAAACCATCTCACACAGATGGTCTGACCTGGTCAAGGGACAGCTTCTCCTCTTTACAGCAGAGTCTTGAGCGTTTTCCCTTGTTGGTATTTTCCTATCCTTGATGCATTTTCCCTCAACATTACCCCAGCGGAGTATTATTTTCCGTGTTTCCAAAGGGGGAAAATTATTCTGGAAAGTGAGTCTACATCAGTCTTCACTCTTCCGTGGGGAATGTCGTGCAGGGAACATGTTCAGGAGGAAGCAGCAAGGAATGAGCCAAGGCAGGGATCACCAACCTATAGAAAAATTCGGGGCAGTAGGAGAAGTCCCCTTTGTGAACACCACACACAGGCAAGGAGGAGGTTTCTGATGTGTTGTAAAGCACATCCTTGCCTTTGAAGACAGGATTTTTGCAGCTTGTCATGGGGCTTGCTCTGTGACCATCGTGGTCCACTTCACCCTGAAGACCCAGGAGCTCTTTACACCCTCTTCCAGTGACGTCCTTTCCCATGAGCTTCACAGGTTTAATGCCGTGCCTCTCTGAAAGGTAGCACTGATTTCTGGAGTGGAGGTGATGCTCAGGAGCAGGACATCAGTGGGGATGGACGGAGCTTCTGCCATGGGAAGAGCTGAGGGTTACTTGTCATGGCATCTGTGCCAAAATTATGTCCAGAAAAAAAAGAAAGACTGGGCTGCACTGATTCACCCACAGCAAGAAACACTCAAGCAAGACCTTGAGACTTGCTGGGTGAAGGCACTGGGCAGGACCTCCTGGTAGGACCAGTGGTGATGCCAGCAAGGGGCTCTCCTGAACTCGTGGGCTCCGTCTCAGCCCTGGAGCTCTCTTCTTTCCAGCTCACAGGGGCTTTGTCCCCAGTCAGGCATGTTCTCCAGCCCTGATACCTCGAGGAGCTGGGCTTGACCCCAGGGTGAAGTCAGCAAGCTCTGCCACCAAAGGGGCTGCCCTCCCTGCTCACCAGCGAACTGCTCTGGAGAAAAGAGAGATGGGAAGAAGGGGAAATGAGAAAAGAAGGAGAAAAGCATTCCAGGGAAGCGGGGAAGAGAAGGGACCTGGAGAACTGCATGGGAAAACCAAGGTGGACAGGGAAGGATAAGTCACAGGGTGTAGGATGTGTTTTAAAACACTCCTGAGAATCTGTCAGCATCTTTCTTTTAAAGGGTCTTTCCTTGGAAAACATCAGTTCAGCTCAAGCCTAATGCGGTAGCAGAGGTTGGGGATGGGGAGAAGAAGCACACCCAGAAGGGTGAGCTTTTGGTTAGACTTGCTAACTCATCTCTTCCCCAGCCTTGTTTGGGATGGGTCCAGCCACAGAGCCAGTTACAGCAGCTCCTCCTTCCCCATCCATAACCAGCTCCTGCTCCTCAAGAGCCCCCTGGACCCATTTCTAACAGGTCAGCATCTTCAAGCTGAGGCCATCTGCTGCTCTTTGGAGACCCAAGTGCACTCCACTGGCTAATGACACCCACTTCACGCTCCCAGGGGAGCAGCATCTAGCCCTCACAGAATAGTTTGAGAGGGGAAGGACCTTTAAAGGTCAACTAGTCCAGCCCCCTTGCAAGAAATAAGGACATCTTCAACTACATCAGGTTGCTCAAGCCCTGTCCAGCCTGGCCTGGAAAGTTTCC